ACCATCTTTTCACAGCTGCTATTTCAGGAAGTGTTGACGCTGGATCTGGCTTGCTTTTCTTACTCTGCATATTATCCCTGAGTAATCTCACCCCCTCAAATATTTATCACTTTGTAAATTTCCAGTGTCAGTCTGTCTCCCGAGCTCCTGACTTGCATATGCAAGTTCCAGTACATAACACCTTAAACTTAACATCTGCAGATCTAAACCCAGAAGGAATCCTTCAGTAATTTGTCTTCACTTTAATTCATTCTCATTCCCTTTGCCTCCCCTCCCCACCCCTCTGCCCTCCCCACTCTCTCTCCATCTTTCTATCAGAAAAGATAACCGTTGTCTTCAGAGCTGCTCAACCCCAACAAAGGGATCCTGAACCCTCCTCGCTCTTTAATTATAGCACCATCGCCTTGTCTAATTCTGTCCCCTTTCTAACATGCTCCGTCCTTCAGTCGTGTGGGGTTCCTGGAACAGCTATTAATTAATGCTTTGGTTTTTCAGATGGGGACACTTGGAGAAGGACAGATTTTCTCGTAATTACAGGGTTGGGAATTTTCAGTGTTTGGAAAGAATGCACATCTTTTGCTTCTTTGAAGGCTACTTATATGAGAAAGGGAAAAACAAACAACAGGTGAACCAAAAGAGGAAAGCTGATGTCCTCCTGGTAGTGAGAGTCCACAGGAATCAGTATTTACTTCACTTTTTGAGACATCAGATTCCTTTTTTCACTGTTGTATATGTTTTTGCTTCACCACAGGGGACGGCTTGAGACCTCAGTGTCCTAACTCAGAGCCACAGCTGACGGTTAAAAAAAAAAGATCTATTGAGATATAGTTCACATACTGTACAAATCACACCTTGAAACATGGTTTTTAGTATATTCACAGGGTGGGAAACCATCACCACCATGTAGTTTCAGAACATTTTTGTCCCCTGCTGCAAAACAAACCCCATATGCTATGGTGGGCAATTCCCACCTACCTAAGTAACCACTGACATATTTTCTGTCTGTAGACTTTGCCTATTCTGAGTATTTCATATAAATAGAATTACACAATATGTAGTCTTCTGTGACTTTTTTCACTTAGCATAATATTTTCAAGGTTCATGTTGTCGCATGTATTAGTACTTCATCTCCTTTGATAGCTAAATTATATTCTATTGTATGAATGTACCACTTCTTTTTGGTCCGTTTGTCAGTTGATGGATATTTGGATTATTTCCACTTTTAGGATTTTACTATCATTGTTTTACTAATATTTTAATATTATGAATAATGCTGTAGTCAGCATTTGTGTACATGTTTTTGTACATATATGTGTTTTTGTTTTTCTTGGGTATGTACCTAGGAGTGGAATTTCTGGGTCCATATAGTAATTCTATGTTTAATGTTTTGAGGGACCACCAAACTGTTTTCCAAAGCAGTTGCAGCATTGTACATTCTCACCAGCGCTGTTTGAGAGTTCAGATTTCTCTACATCCTTTCCAATGCTTTTCTGTCTGTTTTTTTCATTATAGCCATCCAGGTAGGTTGAAATGGTATCACCTGGTTTTGGTTTGCATTTCTCTGATGGCCAAGATGTTGAGCATCTTCTGTTTGTTTACTGGCCAGTCATATATCTTCTTTGGAGAAATGTGTTTAATATATTCAAATCCTTTGTCCAATTTAAAATTTGATTGCCTTCTTGTTACTAGTTATAAGAAATCTTGAGATGTTTTAGATACCAATCCTTTATCAGGTAAATTATTTGCAAATATTTTTCTCCCATTTCTTGAGTTGCTGTTTCACTTTCTGGATGATATCACTTGCAGCACAGAAGTTTTAAATTCTAATGTCCGAGCTGCAGGTTTTATTGGTGTAGTCAAGACTGTTCTGTGAGGAGGCAGAGGAGAGTTTTCCTGTCTTAGAAATTGGTGAATGTTTCAAAGTAGGCAGAGTGGCAGGCCGAACCTCCCAACTTTGGCCTGGCTCTTCTCCTTCTTTTCTTCCTCCATGTAGCCTCTCTTATGGCTCTTGATGGCCACACTGCAACAGATCTGTCTTGGTCTTGATCCTCCAGGTGCAGTGGCCCGGTCTCAGCATTTTAATCGGGGATTGCTAATTCTGTAACGTTAGGATGCCATGGATCTCATTTTACACCTCAATTCCCTGTTAGGTCTCTTAGGGGCAGGGCAGCGCCCCTCATGGCCGAGTTGCTCTTGTCCTGAGCGGTAGCCACGGTGTGTGCAGTCGTGGGGTCTGGTGGCCCCGGAGGTAACCAGAACAGCCCCTCCCTTTGGAGGAGCCACCTCTCTTCCAGTGTGTTTTATCTCGGGGTTGTTAGGCCTGTACCTAGAGCTTCATGCCATCGGGAAGTTGGGCACCAATTTGTCTCATGCTTTTGAATGTCATAAATCAATATTTTATTTCATTTCATTTCAATCAATATCATTTCAACAGAAACAGACTCGGATTTGGAAAATAAACTTAGGGTTACCAAAGGGGAAAGATTGGGGGGGGATAAATTAAGAGGTTGGGATTAACGTATACCCAATACTATGTATAAAATAATGAACAAGGACCTACTGTATAGCACAGGGAGCTCCACTCAGGATTCTATAATAACCTATATGGGAAAAGAATCCAATGAAGAGTAGATAGTTGTTCATGTATAACTAAATCACTTTGTTGTATACCTGAAACTAACAAAACATTATAAATCACCTATGCTGTGCTGTACCAAGTCGTCTCAGTTGTGTCCAACTCTTTGTGACCCCATAAAAATTCATTTTGAAAATGTTGGGGTATAGCTTAGTGTTACTAGATTTTAGTTTTGTCAAGTAAGGACTTTTGGCAATGTAGCTGCTGTCATGGAAATAAGATTTTTCTTATCACGAGAATACCAAAAGGATAAAATTAAATACATTTACTTTTGTAAAGTGTCAGTGTATGGCCTTACTTTTCTCTCTACCACTGAAAAAATGCATTGTGGTCTGTGGACTGACATTTGGGAACCACGCTTTACACACTCAGCATAAATTGTTATTTGAAAAGTAGAACCTTAGCTTAATCAGGTATATTTTCTGTATGATGCCAGGTACCATTCTTTACACAGATTATTTACCTACACTGAAGTTAACTATTTCAGTTGTTTACAAATACAGTATATAATTCTGAATTATATATGTATATTCTAGACTGGGAGGGCTACATAAATTTTTATTGATTCTGTCTTGCCTAAATTAAAATGTCAAAGAGATATTAGGGTTTTATCATAAGATGGTTACTGGCTGTCACGTTGGCACATTAATTATAGTAATTGGGCAGTAAAGAAGCCATAGGAATAGATAATATGCTATACATTTTGATGAGATTGTAGTTATAGCCTCTTATTTATGGTAATAAAATCTTGTTAATCGACTTGCCAACAAGCTCTTTTGCTTTCCTTTTCTACTTTCCAGGTTGGTTCATAAGTCTCCTTAGGAACTATGAACTGAGAGCCACAGTCACATTCCAAGATTGTGCTCGTTCATGGTATACACATGGAATTCATTTAGCAGATATTTGCTGATCATTCTTCTGAGTGCTCCAGTGTATACAGTGATGTACAAAGCACTGTCTGCTCTATAAGACTAGTAATGGGGAAGGGAGGTGAAATGTCTGTATAGAAATAAAAGTGACCCACCTTGATTGAGTCACATATATCAGCTGCGTGTGATAGGTTCCTTAAAAGTGGGATATACTACTATTCAAGTTCAGAAAAGGAAAGAATGATTCCAGGCATGGGTAATCAGTGATGCTGTAAGGCTCAGAGATGGGGGAATTACTCTGCATCCATGATATGAGCTCTGAGCTATCTCTGAATATACCTCTGCGTTGTAAAAGTACAGTGAGAGGTAGATGGCGATGGCTGGATGCACTGACATGGAAATCAGCTTTGTTCTAGGCTCAGCTGCCTTGCAACCTCATTTTGTGCCCTTGAGTATATAAAATTGATGTAATAATATGTGTCCAGCATCTCTCACTATGAAAAATGAGATAATGCAGAGGCCTTAAGCTGCTCCCTGTGGTGAAAGTCAGATTGCTTGGCAGGTGTGTATTTTTTTTTTCAGGCAAGTTAGGCCACACATTTGAATGGGAGTAAGCTCAGCTTTCCATGACTAAAAGGATTAGTGTCCTTACCAGAGTGCCCAATTTATTGCTAGAGAATAGCATATTCTGTGTAACATTTGAACTGTTGTCTGAAAGATTGCCTGAATTCCTTAGAAAAATTTCTTATATGAACATACAGTATAGTGATCACTGAATGATGTTAAAAAGGAAACAGTTGTGTATTGAGCTGCTACTGCTGGTTTATGGCCTTTACAATTGTCTTTAAAATTTTTATACCATGTCCATTTTTTAAAATTGAAATATAATTGATTTACAACATTAGTTTCAGATGTACAGCAGAGTGATTCAATTCTCTATATATTTATGTAGAGATTCTCTATATATTTATATATTATTCTCTATATATTTATATATTTTCCTTTACAGTTTTATCATAAATATAAATATTTATACTTATATAAATATTTAAATTAGTTCCCTGCACTATACAATAAATTCTTAATATCTATTTTATTTATAGTAGTTTGTATTTCTTGATCCCATACTACTAACTTATCCCTCCCCACTCCCTTTCCCACTTGGTAACTATAAGTTTGTCTTCTCTATCTGTGATTCTTTTTCTGTTTTGTGTATAGATTCATTTGTATTTTTTTTAGATCTCACATGTTAACTGATATTGTACACTACTTGTATTTCTGTCAGATTTCACCATGTCCATTTTATAACAGAGGAAACTGGGGCCTCGATAAAGTTTCAGAGGTTACTTAGACACCTGTTTGAAGTGCAGACTGTTGAAATGCAATGTGCTGTTTCGCATGGCCGTGTGCTACTTTAGTGCGATGTTTTTCTTGCAGCCCAGTGTCAGTCAGTTGTGTGTGTGTGTGTCTATGTAAATGTTTGCTTTTTTCACTAGGTTACTTCTGGAGCTCCTGGAGCTGCTGTTTGACAAGTTTAATGCTGTAGCCGCTGCGCACTCTGTGGCCCTGGGGTACCTACAAGACTCTGTGGTGGCCCCACTGAGTCAGCAGGAAGACGTCAAATTGTATGACATGGCAGATGTGTGGGTGAAGATCCAAGATGTTCTGCAGGTAAGGTCCTTTGACAAAGACTGCCGTCTTGATTCAGGATAACAAGTAAGAACATAAAAAAACCAGCCACCTAAAATATTTCCTTACTCATAAACAGAGTGAGAATGTGGTGTTTCTATTTAAAGGTGATCGTTGCTGATGTTATGGAGTTCTGTCATCTTCAAAATACCTTTAAAACAAAGTTTTTTTGGCCGGACTTTAAAATTGGGACATTCTTAACATGTAGCAATCAGGTATCTATAGTATTTGACTTCTGTAGTATTTGTTGTAATGTACATTACTTCGCTGGAATTAGTCATATGTTTATGTAATCAGTGTGAAAATATTCTTAAAACACTGTTTTTAAACATATATGTAGCTTAATTTTATGACCATTTTTCATAAAGTCAGCTCTTGAATATGTTGGGGTAAAAGACAGGTCAAGAGCTTATATTAAGAGATGAAGATAAACCTGTAAAGTATAAATGCATCACTTTGATTTGTTGATGATTGGAGCAATGATATTAGTGTTTGGTGTGATGCTGCAGAGGTGGTATTTGGAAATTTTATTATATTTTCTCTCCATGTGCCAGGAAAATGTATTTGATTTGGCCAAATGAAAATGAGAAATACAATTAAAAGTTAGCTGAAAGAAATTTGACATAGCTCAATAGAAGTGACTTGGTTAGACAGCATCTACTAATAGGAAAAATAATAAGTATATACAGGGAATTGAAAAATGTAACTGTAGAAATGAAATTATTTGCATGGCAAATAGGAGTCTTTGCAGGAAAAAATAAATCATGAATGTAAATTGTAGTCGTTTTCGAGAGTATAGGCATGCTCTTGGTGGATTGATCGATTCCTGGTTATTCATTCATTAGACAGTTTTTTGGATGTAGTTTGTGCTTTATTGATGGTTCAGTAGAAAGAATATAGATTGCAACTATATTCCGTGAGTTTGTTTCGCTGCTCTGTTGATTACCATGCAACCATAGTAGGTGCTTGTTGAATATTTGTGTATGAATAAAACATCTTTATTCCTCGGAAACTGGTTATTTAATATTTTATGTCTTGGTTTGTTCATCTGTCATGGAGATATAAGTTTTTCAGATTACATGCTTATTTTAAGGATAAGACAGTAGATTTTTTTAAAAGTAATTTTTATTGATGTATAGTTGCTAAGATAATAGATTTTTAAAGCTGTTTCAAAAATAGTTAGAATTAAATTCATCTAGTTCTGTCCATGATGAGGTTACCTCCTACCCAAAATGACTTGAAAACTGGATGGACTCAGGTAATCAGCATGGTTACTTGAGAGAAGAGACTACATGAGGTCAGTTTCACGTTCATCCCAGCTTCTTCTCTGGGGATGCTTTCCAAAGTGTGATGTAGGAAAGTGAACAGACATCAGCAGACTCTAAGCAGATGAAGCAGAGGTCAGGTTTCAGGGATGTGGGGGCAGCTGCAGTTTGTGGATTAGGATACCAAAGGAGAGGGAATTACAGAGTGAAGGAGCACCAGAAATCTGAAAAGAGTGCTATTGAGCCTTTGGTCAGAGATGATGTTTCACACACTCCAAGGCGTGGCAGATAGCTGTCCTGGGACTGTGAGCTGAATGGAAATTGCACAAGTTGCCACATGCCAGCCAGCATTGGAGCTGAGACCAGTCAGTGTAAGGAGAACTTGGTGAACGTCCTGTGCTTTCAGATGTGCCCAGAAGGGTTGTTTTAGGACTTGGGCTGTTCTAGCTGTATAATAAGGGATACTATACTTCCACATAATAAAGCTCCAAACCAGGTTTCTATCGTGTTAGCCTGTCCACTCGTGAATTAACCGCCTGCCAGAACGAAACTGACTCTAAAGTAACATAATCTGGATTCTCAATAATGATTCACCACCTTGTCCAGCATACAATTATTATACTTGCAAAAAAGCTGAAAAATATGACTCATCACCAGAATTTTAAAAATGTAATAAAGATTAATGCCTGAAATGAAAAATATACCAGATGTATTTAGCCACAGATTGCGTGCTGTAGAAGAAAGAATCAGAAAACTTAAAGAAAAATCTATCAAAACCAACCAAAACTAAAGTACAGGGAGAAAATAGACTGAAGAGAAAAATGAACAAAGCCATAATGTCCTATGGAACAATACCATGGAATCCAACATTTGTGTGGCTGTGTGGCTGCGAGTACAGACAGCGGGGAGAGAGATTGGGGCAGTTAGTTACTGGAAGAAACAGTGACCCCAAATTTCTAAATTTGTTGAGAGACATAAACCCACAGATACAAGAAGCACAACAAATCACAATGAAGATTGACATGAAGAATACCATACCTAGACATATGATCATCAGGTAGCTGAAAAGCAAAGAAAAAAATCTTCCATACCTAGACATATGATCATCAGGTAGCTGAAAAGCAAAGAAAAAAATCTTCAAGGTAGCCAGAGGAAAAAAGGACACATTGCCTATAGGGAACCAGTGATAAAAATTTTTTTTCACCAACTTCTCATCAGAAATAGTACAAGCCAGAAATCGGTGTATATCATCTTGAAAGGTCAGGAAAATTTACCTCTAGTTTGATACCTAGTCCCATCCTTGACCTTCTGAATAAGAATCACTGTGGATAACCACCGCATTTTGTGGGGTTGTTGTTTCAGCTCCTAAGATGATTAATTTGTCTGAGATCCTATAATTGGGAACTGTTGCTTTGGGCCAGTGGTTCTCGAAGTATGTTTCTTGGACCAGCAATATCTGTGTTACCTGAGAGCATGTTAAAAATGCAGATTTTTATTCCTACTTCATAGTTACTGAATCAGAAACTCTAGGGGTGTGGCCATACATTCTGTATTTTAATAATCCTTTCAGGTGACCTATATGCACGTCCAAGTTTGAGGACCTTTGTTTTAGGTGATACTGGCCCACTGTGGATTTTGACTGGTGTGTGGTGAGACGAAGTTGGTTTAATATGGTAGCGCTGAAAGGGCTGGATGTAGAGGCTGGAAACTAAGGCAAGGCTACTATTAGTATTTTGTAGGCTAATGGAGAGTCAGTGGGTTATATTATTTGGAGATGTTGTCTTATAGTGGAGTAAATGACAGGCTTTCATGGAAAATGTTAGAGGAGTACAGTGAAGAGAGAGATTTGTAAACCTTTAGGAGTCTTTTGGAAACTCTAAAACCATCTAGTTGACTTTTGCTGCTTTTTCGTATGACAGATATTTAGTGACATTTTAGTGTTTAAGCTGTTGGGGCCAACTGTGTGCTCTCATCATCTGTCACCCCCTTCTCCTGCTCTCGATCTTTCCCAGCATCAGGGTCTTTTCCAGTGAGTTGGCTCTTCTCATCAGGCGGCCAAAGTATTGGCGCTTAGGGCCAAGTTAGTTTTCTTACACTTGTTGTGGAATGCTCTTTAGGTTAAGATCATTCCTGGAGAACAGACAAAGTTGAGAACCATAGATGCCTGCAGTTAAGCATGTACCTGCATGAATGATGGTGATGGGATCATATAAATGGAGTTTCAAGTGTTTAGAGTTCGAATTTCAGTGTTTCTTTGAACAGAAAGTGTTTCTTGCTGAAAAATTGAAATGCTCTTTTGTGTATTAAATCTTGGAAAAGAAAACAATTTTTGATCATGGAGAGACTTTGGCAGCCTTTCTCCACTGGAACCTGGGCTGTCCCCGGCAGGCAGAATGTGTCGTGTAGTTGGAAGGCTCATTTGTCTCCGCGTGTTTGCGCCTGGAGACAGCCGTGTGTGGAGACAAGGCTGTAGCTATCACAGTAACAGGGTGTCAGTGTTTTCTCCTGGTGTCGGCTCTGTGACCACACACCACTGAACTTCCTTTTCAATTTTACACTCTTTTAGAAACTGTGATAATAGGAATACATGCTTTTGTCCCTCTGAGCAGCAGCAGCACCTTCCAAAATGTCACCTGCTTGATGACATGCCTGTCATACCGTTGACTGCACATTTTCAAGTGTATCAGACTGCGGTACCCTAGAAATACAAAATACTCCATTTCTTGTGGGATTTAACAGAGGAAATAAGAGGATCACTTTGAACAAACATATCTTTCAGGTGTTTTGATTCTGGAAAAAAAAATCTAATTTTTTCCCACATCGCTTTTCAAAACAAAACTGCTTGCTTTGTCATTGTTGGCTTACGTGTGTAACCAACCCCTGAATGTACTAGGTAGGGTTGTGCAGATGGAGGCAGGGGGTTGTAATTACACTGTCGAACCAGTGGCCATGATAAACAAGAACACTTCACTTTACAGTGCCCCGATCTCTTTTTCGGGAAATGAACAGAGACAGAATGGAACATCATCTTACTTTTGCTAACTGCCACTGAAATGTTTAAATAGTGATAAAACTACCGTCATGCAGAGAGAACTTGAAGTTTGCCATCAGATATGAAGATCCACAAATCGTATTGGTACCGACCCATGACCTGGAAGGTTTTTCAAGGAGACAAATGCAATTTCTATTTTGAATCCACATCTGAAACTAGGTTATTCTTAGATTTTTATTTCATTTGATATTTTGGTTAGCTGAGGATTCCATTCACCTTAAAGGAAAACTAGGTTCCCCTCCTGCCCCCAAGTATTTTAGGCCGGATAACTTGTGAGATTATTCTTGCAGAAATCATTTCTCTTCATTTCTCAGCCTTTAAAGCTCTTTGATAGCCTCTATTTTGAGTGGCATATTAAAGACATGCTGTCAGCCAGGCCATTGAATCTTCAGAAAGGTGCTAGGATGTTTGTTCTGTCTTGTCAATGGATAGTGTGTTGCCCAATGAATGGAATGCAGTTAACATGTGAGAGTTAAAGTAGAAATCTTCCTCTAAATTTAAGTCAGTTCCATAGCCTGGGACTCTCCATAGGTTGTTTTATGTTCATTAATGAAAGCAGGGATTGCTGGGCAGCCAAGGAGATCCCTCTGGTTCCCAGTGCATTTATGGCAGTTGCACAAGTTCAAGGTTCTGTTACAGCACTGAAGAGTCATATGTAGAACTCT